AGATAGATAGATAGATAGATAGATAGATAGATAGATAGATAGATAGAGTCCTGTGCAGTTACTGTATGGACTCAAAGATCTTACATTTCATATCAAATATATTATTAATCAATGTTTTTATTATTTCTTTTTTTCTTGCTTGACTGATGTTTGTAGTCTGAAATTAGGGCATACCACAACACATTACCCTTGTGCCCATCAATGAGTGGCTCCATATCAATGTGTGAGTAATTTGGAGCATTCTTGAGCATTTTGAGTATGAACCTGCAACAAAGCCTGTAAGAGGAGCCCCCACTCTTCTGCGTGACCCGCTCTCCCATTATCAACAATACCATAGTCATTACATGGCACTTATGAGATCTAAATGCCATCCTGCAGTACACTAGCATTAGATCACAGCATCTTTTGTTTATTTGTTGCGTCTAAACACACAAAATTTGATCGGTAACAGTGCTGGGTGTCTTTACCTGAATACCTTTCATTAGTATTGCTTTTTGAATGGTTCTTTACCATATAGCTTTTTAACTGCACATGGTTTATTAAAACAATCCTCTTTAGCATTCTATATAATATCCAATAACCAGTTATAATTAAATGAGTTATTTCTCCCAATGTGTAATGTATTTTAACTCGTTACGCTGGTCTGGTTAAAATGTGCGTCTTCTTTTCAACCAGATTAAAAAGAGCTCTGACAAAATATTCACAACACAAATTTTGCATTTTGTGTCTTCAGCAGCTGGCAATTAGCAGCCTTCCCAATACACAGGCAGGGGGCGGTGGATGGGAAAGTAGAGGAAGGAGTCTTGTTCTGAAAACACACATCCAGCTTTGGCTGTTTACATCTTTTTGGCACGTCTTCGGCTGTTTCCATGACAACAGGAGTAAAGATAGTTGGGATTTTTCACAGCTACAGTGCTCCAAGTGCCGCTGATTGCTGGATGTGAGCTGAAGAAAGAACAGCAAAATATGGAAACTGATAGTGCAGGCGGTGCCATTACTTCAGCTCGAACCTGTGGGAGAAATCAACAGCAGACGAATCCAGCTTCTGATTTTTTGGGCACAAGCTGCCTTGTTGCCATTCCACACGAGCTGGACCAACATTTCACGCCACTTGATCTTGGATTAAAACATACTCTTGTTTTTAGAATAAATGACAATGTACAATTATCACTTCCTGTTCAATTGAATGGCTGGTTTTATCAACGAATCATGTGCCATCAATAAAACGTCATTTTTATGCTTATTCCATACTCAGACACATAATTCTTGTGTGTAATGAGAGCAAAACTGAATCCTTCAATATGAAGCCACACTGAAAATCTCCAGGATCTGGTGTGGTTGCTGTGACATTAAGACCACCTAGAATATAAAGATCCACAGAACTTCTTTTTTTCTTCCTTGCTGGGAACACACCAAGTTATGTGAACACACCAAATTAATGGTGGGTACTCATGATGGTATCAAATAAAGCCAACAAGCAGACTTTATTTTAGTTGATTTATGAAGATATCGAATGATTGATCAACATTTAGTCTCATAAAGATTAGTAAAGATACACAGGGCATAACACAAGTTAAAATACAACCTACAAAATTAAATTGTATTTAAAAATAAGCTCTTTTTTATCCTGATTTAATCCTGCTGGTAGAAATATGAGTCATAACTGCCAGCCTAATCCAAAAATAGGTGCTGTACGGAATTTAAATTGAAATATTTAGTGTATTAGTTGTATTTATAGTAAACCCAACAATACTGACAGGAGAAGAAAATAGTCAAATTAATCAAAGGACACCACCAGTTAAAAGATAAATAGTTTATGTGAATCTCTCACATAGCATTTACCTTTACTATACACAGTGTGATATACAGTATGTCACCTTTCTTGTACAGTTTGACATAGTGTTTTTTTTTTCTCAGCATGCACTTTAGAATGCCAACAAAAGGCTCCACGAATACAGACTTCAAACTTGTATTTTACTCACAGTAAAACATACAAAACTGAAAACTGGATCAGAAGACTGACAATTTGAGGACATAATGGAGAAAACACAGCATCAGACTACCATGACTTCCACAGGTGAGAGCAATGCACTCAACAGTAAGACACAAAAATATGTGTTCTGGATTAACAAAAATAAACCCTTTTTTTTAAAGTTACAACATCATTCTAAAAATACACAAAGAATGATACTTCTTTGACATTTCAAAGAGTAAAAGCAGCGTGTTTACTACACAAGGAGGATTATGAGTATAGGGTGATAACTATGCAGGATGCTACCTACATGCCACATAAGTTGTGCCATTCGTCAGTCCTGCCCATTAGCATTGTCAGCTGCATTTTCCCCTTTTGCTTTTTTTCCCCTTTCCGCCTTCGTGTTTAAACCGGCTGCTGAATTCACAGTGTGGATCGGCGCTTTTTGTCATCGGATGCTAACTGCATATCCGATCTGATTGTTTGGATACACGGGATTGCTACTGTGCAGATGTAGCCATTCTAGAAGTCCCTTTATGACTTGGTAAATTTCTGCTACACTCTTGCTCCGCCCCAACACGGGGAATAGTTTGGAAGAATCAAGTCATGCAGTTTTATTAAAAGTTTTTTTTTTTTAGCCACCAGGAATTATAAGGAATAATCTGGTAAGAATAATTTGGTTTTTAAAGAGACAAACATTTGCAGCACTGACGCAGGGTAGTTGCATGTTAGATGCACAGAAAAAGGGGGACTTCTACAATGGCGGCTGCATCTCAGGGGAGCTCTATCTCTTTCAGGTTTGTGCTAAATCTAATTTGGAAGAGTCAGCATCAGTTCCACTTGCTGGTCCTCCCTGACCTGCTCTTTTTCAGACTGCAGATCTCAAGCTGAAATATTAGGATGCACACACACACACACAAACCTGACACACACACACGCACATCCACCCACACGTACACATTTACACGCAGCTGAGCAATTAACCTACTGAAATTACCAATTAAAACAAAAGCAGAGAAGACCAGAATGTCACATTTATTCAACTTAGCACATTTGTCTTTCTATACTGTATATAATTTTAAGTAGATTTTCATATGAATACACCCCATTTTAAGAACACAAAGTGCCTCAACTGATACATTTAAATACACTTATTGCGAGGGGGGACACCACAGCAAGAAAAGTGATTGGTGTTGACTGTCACTGCGCAACTAGCAACCACCAACCGAGTTGGTTACATGACTCGAAGTCAATAGACAGATTTGTGGACGGAGCCACTTCGCCCAGATGTGCTGCTTTCTTGTATTTACAGGAGCAGTAACTATCTATCAATTCGATAGTCTTTTTTAAAGACAGGTCCGTTATTTTCTCCTCGGTTTTCTCCAAGATTTCCAAAACTGAGGCAAAAAATAAATATGGGGGCTTATCAAAGTCCTCTCAGGATTTTTTTTTTTAAAGTTCTTTCCCTGATAGCTGAGCCTTTAGCTGGACAGCTGTCAGTCAATAGCGTCTGCGGCTCCTTATCCATATCATCCTTATGGCTCCACATGTGGTCATCCACTGCAATAGGTCATCATTACTGTTGACATTATTTCACTGTGATTTAAATGGGAAATGAGTTTGTCTAAATAAACACATCTCAGAGTATTAGAAATACATGACCTGTTGATGTAATTTCAGAATACATTATGGTGCGTAGGCTTTTTAGTACAAATCAATCATGATCCAAAAGTCTATACGGATTTATGAAAACTTTCCATTTCAGCAATTTAATTGGGGATGAGGGACTGGGAGTGAATCAATAATGAGGTGTACAGACAGAGAGAAGTTTTTTTTAATTGTTTGACTTTTTGCTGAGTTGTGCGTAAGATGAATCTAGCTGTAAGCCAGTTGCTAAGCAACCCTGTGCTAGGGGTATAGACACACTGCAGGGATGGGTGAGGCACATTGCTGAATGGTTGTCTGCTCTAACACACCTGTTAGTGTGCAGAGATCATTTTACATCCGTCATAGAAAAAAAATGTTTACAGTTTGATATATGAGTTTATATAAAAACCTGCAAACTGTAAGGGGATTCAGGTTTAGTTAGTCTGATTTGGGTACTTGAGAGCATTTAATAGCCCTTTGTAGTAACTGGTGATTTTCAAAACTATTTTTTTTTCAGATTTTTAACTTAAATAAATCAATTATAGGGTGCAAACTGTTATATTCCCTTGTGAAAAACCCCCAATGTGCAATACCTTTTGATTAATGTACTCAATTGGTAACAATTATACTACATGCAGAGTCTTTATTGGTGTCTAATGAAGAGGAGTTTGTGCGAATCTCTGTGAACAAGGACACGGTATCTCTTCGTAATAGTAAGTAAGTAGCATTCATTTTAGTCCAAACAAAAACAGAAATTATAATTAACAAACAGCAAGTTGTTCACACTGCAATCTGAACCTCACACCCCTTCAGGTGGTTACCTTTCTGCCATGGTGGTGCCTTTTCCCAAGCCATTAAGACAGAACGCTGCTCTCTGCTTGTGTGAAACCAGTAAAGACAATCTCTTTGCAGTTATCTGTGAGTAAACCAGAAACAGAACAGTTGCACTCCATCAAAGGAAAAGTTAAACATGAATCTATCACAGCAACTGAGCAGAGAGAAACGCACATTATAAGCTGCTGTTCTGTGTTCAGTCACCGTCGTAGATTGTTAGTGAAGCCAAAGAAATAAAACATGAAACAAGTGGAGGCATCATCCCTCCACCCACATTCACAGCCCAGCACGATAATACTGAATTAGTAATTTGTCTCGTATCTTTCCTTACTATTTGCCTCTACTGTTTGCCGAGGATGGCTAAATGATGATCCGTGCACAAACATGAGCAGGCAACAGCTGGAGAGGAGAGACAGACTGTATGTATGTGTGAGCTGAAACAAAAGAGTAACATTGCACCTCCTCCTAGCCTAAAAATAACAGCGAACCAAAAACACAGTCACAGTTGTATGTGGACAAAATTAAGTGACATCTCTTTTTCTAATTTTGGAAGCACAACTTTTTCAAGGTACCTCATCACAACATCTAATATCCCTGATTATTAATACATATTAAATGTTATGGCTGCTACTTCTGAAGCCATTAGTCAGAATTGTTTTATTGCAAGTCTCAGAGAACAACATCGAACTAATGGGAACTCCAAGTGACACAGGAGAACAGACAAATTACTTCTGGACTCTAACTAACCACATGTACTTTTAGGAAGAAGGGGAAAAATGAGAGCTTGCTCATATTGCCTTGACTATTAACATTAGTCCCAGCAACAATTTGAAGTACTTATCCACAGATCACAATATCTAGAGCAGAGTTCAGGCGTTATGCTAAAAAGAAGTGGTCTGTGAGGGTGGTAGGATGCGGGGTTTGGGCCAAAGATGGCTACAGGATGGACGTCTCACAGGATGGAGGGAATAGGGGAGCGAGAGCGGCGCAGTGGACAGGGTGATCCATAGGGCGAGGCCACAGGAGACAACCTCAAGGCGTTGCCAGCCACGCCAGTCATGCCTGCTATGTTGTTTAAGCTCCGAGATTTCTCGTAGCCTTCAGATGAGGGAGCGACACAGGGTGGTGGTGGAGGTGGTGGTGCAGGTACAGGACATGAACACACACAGGCAGGCAGGCAACGATCCAAGTCCGAGCCGGCCGATTGAACCGAGACAAGACAGGAGACAGGAGTGAGACAGAGCAACTATAAAATTACCATAATATGAGTGCATGCATAACACATTTCCTAACAGTGTCAGTAAGCACGAAGCTTGGATTTTAGAGGTGGAGCTGTTTTGGAAAGAGTAATATGTAACATTTAAAAAAAATATTCTTTACTTTGATGTAAAGGTTTGGATCACATTTTGTGATGAAATACTACCTATTTGATATATTTCAATGCAGCTCAAATGTATGTGCTATGTCCCAAAAGCCATTATGCTCAATTACTCTGTACAGGAATACATAACTCTTTAACAATAAAGAGGAAAAATATTAACCTTTGACCTTACCAAACCATCTTCAATATTCAGGTCTTTATATTTTTTGTCTTTGTTCTTGATTTTGTTAGCTGTTTTAGAAACCAGAGATTTACAATTGCAACACAAGCATTACTTGTTTATTTTAACTTTATAATTTATTTGCATTACTAGGTCTGTCATCTTTACTAATTTGATGTTTGTTTTTTGTACTGAAATTTCTGAATTGTATCTGGTTAGCTATAATAATCAAATGGCTGATGTGCTGATATTCCAACATGTTTAATAAGTTAGTTCAGAGTGAATTTAAACATAGAAATCACTTCCATTGCTATTTTGACTCACAGAAGAATTGACAATGTCTTCAGTCACGCAACTCCATCAATGGGGTTGCAATAAATTCCAAAGTAACTCTACCTTTGGAAATGTATTTGCATGTATTTATTTGTATTAATTAATTCATTCGATGGTATAATTATTGGTGTAATTTTTCTCAGTTGTTCAAAGACAATGAAACTTCGAAATTTCAAACAATTTGTATTCAAAGGGGTGTTTCACATTTAAATAACTAATACAAATTGTTGCACATACATTACACAGAGATTGAACCTTACAAACAATCAAATGCAATAAATGTATTAAATATTATTAGTATGTATTTTCAAGCTCCACATACTGAGAAAAATCTTTTTAAATGCCTAATTTCAATTATCTGTACAGATTTGCACTTGTAAATAAAAAAAAAGCTATGTGTGATGCGTGCTGGCAAATTTGCATTCAGTGCAAAGTAAGCAAGCAAGCCAAACCAACCAGATCATTAATGGAGCATGCCAATCAAACTGCTGTAAACACTGATGAGAAGCAGCTAATGGAAACATTGCCTCATTATCGTATTGCTTCCACCACGGTTTATCTAACTGAGAGCCTATTTTAAACTGGGGCCATTTTAAAACCAGTCAAGCAAGCAAACTAAAGGATGTTCTGCATTCGTGCCGAAAGGCAGTACAGACAGATGTTGTTTATGAGCATTAGCATCAGAGTGGCAAAAGCAAGCACAATGGCTGGCTGAGGTGGCAGATACAAAGGCACTTATGCTGCAAAAACATTGCAGGCCAGATGTCCTGCTCTGAGAGACACAGCAATCAGTGCTCATTCAGAAAATCTCATATTCCAATACCCACCTTGAAAGCTGTCATTAGTATTTTCTAAATGGGATACAATTTTTTTTTTGTTGATGAGTCATTGTAATTTTCGAAAATGTGTGAGTCTATACTTGGAAAAAATCGTCAGTCTATCGACCAAAGGTAGGATAGCAAAGACTCAACTGCTATGAGGTGTGTGCAGTAGCATTTTGACCACTAACACTCAGAGGATTGTCTTTGATAGGGAGAAGTAATTCATTTTAGAGGTTTGTTAGCTGAGGTTTTAATGTTTTTCACTTAGTGTCAGGAAATGACAATAAATGAAAGCATCTTAAAGAGAAATTATACACTTATTTATCAAATTAATTCCAGTATGACTTTGTTTCTGCTGTCTGAAATGTTGATACGTGTATTGGCTTTGAAATCACATCGAAATGCAACACGCATTTTGGTAATGTAAACTAAACATTACCATTGAACAATTTGATCATTCTGTCCATGCACAGCTGCAAGTCCAAAAGCACTTTGTGAGAAAACCACACAAACTTTGTCAATCATATTTTCCTTTCAACATTTAATGGTGCAACCAAGAAGCACATTAAATTTGACCGACAATTTGAGGTCTTTATTATTATCATCTGTACTGAAATTCACAGTTATCATGAATGTTGATCTGAACTATTAAAAAATTCAATGTCACAGCTTAGCGACTACTGTATGCATAGCTGACCAGTCATCTTAATATCCTAATATTAGTATTAAGCTTTATCAGGATTTAAAGAAAATCTATTTATAAACCTTAACACACAATTTCATACTTTTTCCTATTTTTTGACTAAGCATATTCATAATTAACGCAGTTAAAATATATGTACCAAGTTATTACTAATAGTGTTGTTGATCCTAACCTGAACTATTTTATTGAACTATTGTCTATGTTTATTATTTAAGATAACTTTCTTAAAGTTCTTATATCTTCAGCTTGTTCAACCAAGCAAAAGCAAATATGGATGATACATATTTATGTTATAGGGCGCCAAAATGAAACAGAATCTGTGCTATGTTGAAGTACATTTTGGTAAATTATTATTTTTTGTAATGACGCCCCCCATCAACATTTTTTTAAGAATGTTGAAAAGTACATGATCTGGGTGCAGGAGAGTCAAAGCTTCAAGTGTACTCCAGAAAACACAACTCCGTATTCTAAACTTACTTGAATACATTTAAAGTTTGCTCATCCATATACTTTTTTTGGATAAAGAGAAAATCCCCATGATTCTAAAGCATTATGAGAAATATCCATCTGTGTCTTCCATTGCTCTAGCCTCAATAATTTTCAATGAAAGTCATAATGCATTTAAAAAAAATATTTCACGTGCATTAGTGCATTCGATAATAATCAAAGGGGATGCATTTGAAATATTTCTGTTTAACCTTAATGTGCTTATTTACATTTTTTTAGTATATTGAGTGTCCACCAAGTATATACAAAATGCAACATTTAAACTCCTCTGAATGAGACCATCAGAAGAGTGAATTATTTGCCATTTACAACAAGAAAAAAAACTCATAGGCAATACTTTATTTGGATTTTTAAAAGGAACTTTTGCATCAAAAAGTTCCTAAGACTTGGTTACTGTGAACAACATGAACATTGTACGGGTAAGATGCTGCAGAAAACTGCCTATTGTGAAAGTGATGTGGTTTGGAAATCCCAAGCAATCACAGCTTTAACATTTTTCCAAGGTTTTAGTGTCTTTAGATGGCTAAAAATTCACATTTCTTCAAGATTATTCTGAATAAATGTTCTCATGTCTGATTTCCCCTCATACTTTGCCAAACTGCTTTGGCTACTGTCTACAGCAGACAAGACACTAAGAACTGTACTCATGAGTCCTTAACAAAATTCTACCATCCCTTTCAGTACAGATAATATTTAGTTGTAATAATGAGTGACAAGCAGCTCCTAAATTGTAAGTATTGTCAAGTTTTGCAGGGTGTACCCCGCCTCTCATCCAATTACTGATAATAACAAACTGTATGCACAATGGATGGATGGACATTTCCTCCATATGAATGAGACAGAATAGGTATCTGAGGCAACCTGACTTAAGTTACTAAGCAACTGCGTAACTTTCTGCATAACATAACTCTTAGATTACTTTACTGAAACCTTTCATCGCCTAATTGGTATTTACATGATTGATGCGTTTGGTAGTAAAATCTCAGCTTCTGTCTCATTTTCCTCAGGACAGATCATAACTGGGAACTTTTGTTGGAGCTGTACATGGGCAGCGAACGTGGCAACGGAGCCAAAAAGCGTGAGACGCAGTCAGATATTTATTCAACTGTTTCCAAGCAACGAGAAAACATGAATAAATTTTGAAAAAAGCAACAGTTCTGAGTCATCTGCAATAATGCATTGGTCCCTCAGAATTGCCAAAAACATTGTGATGTGCGTATATATGCTGAGGTTCCCAACAGCAGATATACAGGTTAGGTTACCTGAGCTGACTAGGCATGAACAAACAGCCTTCCCCCTTCCAGGGATGTGGGTGTACCCATCACTATGGACATGGATCAACTGATAAGGATGTCTGTATCTTCAAGACCATTTTTTATATTTATTTTATGTTATATATCTTTTCAAACGTTAAGTGATAAAACAAAAAAAATCACCTGAACCATTAAGTTCATTCTAATAAATGAAATCAATATTAACACATAGTAACAAGCATTAATTTAAGATATTTTCCAAATATATTGAAATGTTACTTTTTTCCATATAGTGTAAAATTTGAACACAGGTTTTCTTTTAGATATTTTGATAATTACAAAAATGCTTTTAAAATAACAATAATCATTGTTTTATTGCACATAATAATCTTATCTTGGTCAATGAAATAAATATGAGAACTTTCAAATTTTACAAACGCAGTTACCTATTTTTCGTATACCTCCATCTGCTGGGCAGGTGTAGTCACTAGCAGCAAGGAGGAAACATGTCCCCCCACTCAGATGGTCCTGCTCTCGGGTACTGGACCTTCGCATTGGGATTCTTTCCTCCGGAGACATAGTAAGGTCACTGCCACCGCTGCAGTCTGCTGATAAAACTGTGGAAAAGTGGAACAAATAATGGGCAATGTTCCTTCCAGTCTTTATCGCCAGCTGTAACAAAAACAGTTATTTTTCCTCTCAAGTGTTGCCACAGTACATTAACCTTGACTCACATGGGGACCTTGGTGGGAGTTTTTTTACACCAGATGCCATACCTGATGCAACCCTCACATTTATACAGCCTTGAGACAGACACAAATAGGACAAAGAAAACCACTCCCCATTTCTAACTGGATCATGGGCAGCTGGGGATTCAGTTTGGCCCGACACCTTGACATGGAACCAGGGTTCAAACCACTGACCCACCCATTGGCTGGCAACTACTCTTACCCCTGAAATACAGCCAGTCTAGTAGAAAATTAAACAGAGTATATATAATCCTGCAAGCTTGAAAGTCAATGTTCAGTATGAGGACTGTTACACTTCAAATACGGCCTGAGCCCTTTTGGGAAATAAAATCCTAAACTTTCTTTCATCAGTTTGGATTGGATACATTCCTCACCTGCTCTGATAGCTTTTTTCCTATATTTTTCCATTTAAACATTTAAATGACATCACCCTTATATACTCTTAATCAACTGCAGATTAACCGTTATCTTTACTTTTCCCGTTCAGTCACATTTTTAAATACTTGCTATATTTATCAACATGTGTTTCTGGCCACTAGTTCTGTTAAAATATATATTGGTAAATACGCAGTAATGTTACTGTGCGGATTTCTTGCTTTTAAAAATACACCTGAAGAAACGAAAAACCAGCATTGTCTTTCTGACAGCTAGACAATGACAAAATGCCTTAAGACATATGCAAAAAGAGTTATTTGCCAAAATATTGTATACACACAACACTGCTCCATCCCTCAAACATTTTCATGCTTGAATGATTCATAATAAATTTTAGTAGCTTGTCAAGCAACACAAAAAAGCATATTCTGGCAAAATGGTTAGATACACAACCATTTTGCCGTACAGAAAAAGGAAAAACAGCCCTAAAAATTTTTTTTCAATCATAACATTAGTTTGCCAATGTAATTCTTGATAGGGATATTTCAAATTTTGAAGATGAAGACTTTTTCAAACATTGGCTGACCTTTAATATTTAGCTAATGGACAGAAAGCCTCTGTTTGCTCATACCAGTAACCAGAAGTGCAGTGTAATAAGTCCAATAGTCCAAACAAAACAAAAACAAACAAAAGTCACAAAACATAATGCATGGCATGTGACGTCCAAATAAAAAAAACAGGCAAAACAACAAAAACAAGTTGTCAAAAGATGTAAAAGAGACTTTTTTTTTTTTACAGTTCATGTCATCGTTTTTATATTTCAATAAGAACCTTACTTTTCATGCCCGAGTATTGAGTATTTTCCTGCACTATAGATTCATAATGATCTACAGTCACATTTGTGGGCAAGGAAATAAAGAACACACCCTACATAAGAAACCTCCACTAACAGGTTCATGTTCCGAGGTTAGATGGTGTGAATTAGTGGGAAAAGTAGCCCAAATATACTATGTAAAAAGTATATTTCAAAATATATCAATTTGAAAGGTATCTGTGTCCAAAAGACAGTTAATGGTACTATAGTCTCACAGTTCATTGCTGATTTTTTTTCTAACTGAATCTGTCATATACAATTAGGGAAAGCAAGGGTGATACAATCTTAAAACAAGCCAAATGTCCACAAATTTTCAGTATTAAAGGGTGAACATGAAGTACTCAAGTGATACTTTCATACCAGCAGGTGCTGACTGTAATGATATTATATGTCATAAATCAAACCCATCCAGCTATTTTATGTATTTTTAATAGGTTTATTATGACAAGAGTGTTCCAGTTGAAAGTGAAATTGGATATTTAAGAAGCCATCACAAGACAGTCTATAGAGGTAGTAAGACTGACCCCAACTTACCTAATGTATATTTGATATTTTCCTTAAGGTCTTGCCATATAATTGACTTTATAAAAATGAAAAAACCATGGTAATAAGTATTTCTGTTTTCTGCTGAGGTGAATGTGAAGTTTTTTTCAGTATGAGACATTTAACAAACATATTATTAGCTATTTTTAATCAAAATATGTTAGGTAAATCGCAGTATTTTTGGCTTTATTTAATCTTAAATGGCAAATGATGTTGGCAGGTGCTCAGTATTCCCACAAGCTAAATTATGCTGAACAAGTTTGAACAAAAAACAACAACTTTTATAAAATACTTGAAAAAAACATTATCTAGTGTTTACATTTTTTTTTTAATGAGATTGAGTGAAAGGCTAAAATGAAATAAAAAGACACAAAATGACAACCTAAATACAAGCCCAAACAAATCTAAATCTAAATTGAATTTAAGATGCATAATATCACATTGTCTAGAATGGGGTGAGTGAAACATCAACTGAACATAGGACAGTTGCTTATTTTGTAAGCTTGATATCAGCTTAGTGTGAGAAGCAATTTTATAGAAACATCCATGCCCCACTGTAGTTTAGGGGCATGTAGTGTTGTAGTTTAGGGATGCTGGGTAAAATGCCTCTGTGTGATAAGAAAAGTAGATAACACTGAACTAAATGACACTTTTCTCTGTAGGTGAACTGTTAAAACTAATACACAAGTGAAAGCCCAGAAAATGTTAATTTTCCAGTCAATTACTTTCATGGGCTTGGAGGAAAAGTAGCCACCTACAATTTAAACTACAAATGAGCTTTCCCTTCAGGGTGAAAGACTTGGACAAATTACTTCTCGGCAGCCTGAACAATTTCTTACATCTACCTCTTTGTCTCAATATTTTTTCCATTGCCCACTTTATCCCTGTGGTAACCACAGAGGGCTGGTAGAAATTTCACCTTGAGAGTCATGGGTGCTACACATGTCCCTACTTCAGCCCTACTTCCAAATATAAAGGCCGGATGGGCACAAATTGTCACTTCTCTCACTGGTGTATAAACTAGTAAAGTGAAAGTATTCATCATTTCCACTTGGACATGATCTTACCTGAACGATTGCGCTCAAGTATCCTGCCTCCTCTGACATGGCACAGGTCCCCTTGAGTGCTGTTGCAGGTGGTGTTGAGATCAGCTTTGCAGTAGGATGGAGAACCTCCCTGTACCTGAGGGATGTGTTTCTTCCTCTTCTTGGGTAGCTTCTGCTTGGCCATTGCCAGAGAGTAGTACATCCCAAAGTTATTGACGATGACTGGCACAGGCATGGCTATCGTCAGTACACCAGCTAAGGCGCACAATGCACCTACAACCATGCCTGACCAGGTCTCTGGATACATGTCACCATAGCCCAAAGTAGTCATGGTCACCACAGCCCACCAAAATCCGATGGGGATATTTTTGAACTTGGTGTGGCGGCTAGCAGTGGGGTCATTGGGCTTGGCACCAATTCGTTCCGCATAATATATCATGGTGGCAAAAATGAGCACTCCCAATGCCAGGAAGATGATGAGCAGCAGGAACTCATTGGTGCTGGCCCGTAATGTGTGGCCGAGCACCCTAAGCCCCACAAAATGACGCGTTAGCTTGAAGATACGCAAAATACGAACAAAGCGCACCACCCTGAGGAAACCCAACACATCCTTGGCGGCCTTTGAAGAAAGGCCACTCAGCCCTACTTCCAAGTAGAAAGGCAGGATGGCTACAAAGTCAATGATGTTCAGAACACTCTTTACAAACTCCAGCTTGACCGGGCAGAAGGTCACCCGCACTAGGAATTCAATGGTGAACCAGAAAACGCAAACTCCCTCCACATACGTGAGTGCAGGGTCAGTTTCAATCTCATACTGTGGACCAGAGTCTTGCCCGCTGCTATTCCGTGGATCGGTTTTGTTGATGATTTTGTTGAAAGCCTCGTGAGTCTCCAAGCAGAAGGTGGTGATGGAGACCAGAATGAAGAACAAAGATACAAAAGCGATGAACTGCAGGAGAGGAGAGAGAAAGGATTTAATACTCTATCCACCATGACATTTTATTTTACTTACACATCCATTATAACGATTCATAATATACATCATATCCTATAGACCAATAAATGCATTTGTTCCTAAATATAGTAGATTCAGAAGGGTTCCATTACATTTTTTTCAATAGAGGGAATAAATTAACACACTCCCTTTGGGTCTTTGTGGAAAAGTATAATAGAAATGAAGAAGGAGTCAAACTAAATTAACTGCAGCTGGCATGTCAGTGAGATGTCTACCTGAGAAAAAAAATCTTTGCCAGCTGTGCTATGTGCAATTATTAAAATAAACATCTTAATAGGTCTGTTATAGAGTTTCAAATATCTGGGTGTTCACGTCAGAATACCGACGCCCTGTACAAGAATGGCCAGAGCTGCCTGGTTAAAATGAATAATGGAGATGCTGCCGACGTCTTCACTCACTTTAACTTTATTCAAAAGAACACCAAAACTTTTCTGCGCAAGCGCAAAACACAGTTTTCTGCTGATCAGAAGCAATCGATCTACAAACCATCGAACTCGTGAGAAATTGTAAATAGTGTACATAGTATTAATACTTTTAGTACTGTATTACCATAACTTTTAAACAATCATAACAAAATGATAATTATGAAATATGAATTATTTGTAACTCTCCTTTTTAACTGAAATATCAGTCTTTTAAATCTGTGTATTTTATGCACGACTTCTAAAATATTTTAATAATTTTAACCTTTCACACAGGTCATTCATCCCTGCTGATATCAGACTTTACAATGCTGCACTATAACTTAAAATACTTGTGCAATTAATATTTAATATTTATAAATGTATATGTCACCTTAAATCTGTTCTTTATTTCTTTTTTTCCCGATCCACTGTATATATGCATATATATATATGATGCACTGTATATACCTCATGCACCTTTTCCTCCTTTTGGCACCTTCTTTTGATTACAATAGCTGATATGACATGTGAATTTCTCCACTGTGAGATCAATAAAGTCTATTTTATCTTATCTTAACAAGCAGTAATCGATCCATTCTTTTCAAATACCCACATATTCTAATTAGCGGGCATAAGCCACTCATCCCTAGGTTAAATTCGGAGTTTCCAATTAACCTTGAATGGTGGGAGGAAGCTAAATAACCGGAAAGAACATCTAAACTCCTCCCAATAATCCATAACCAGAATTTGAACCTGTGAGGCAATGGTGCAAACCATCACACTGTGCAGCTCCAGCAGTAATAGATCCATCCATCCATGATCTATACCACTAATTATTAGTAGCGTTACTAAGAGACTGGAGCTAACTCTGGCCGAGAAGCAGGGTGAACCCTGGAAAGGTCGCCAGTCAGTCACAGGATCACACAGAGACAAACAACCAGACACACTCAAATTCACTCCTAGGGGCAATTTAGAGCGTTCAGATAACATAATATGCATGTGAGTACCCGGAGTGAACCCATGCAAACATCGAGAGAACTTGCAAACACCTTACCCAGGTCTCAGAAAAGATCATTTTTCAAATAATTCTTAGCTCCAACACTCAGTTAAGGATGCAAAGTTAACAAAGTGAAGACAAGGTGACGTCAAAGAGTGTTAAATCAGTTAAAATGTCACTGTGCACTGGGGGAAAAAATAGATATAAATAACAGTATAGCAGTACTAACAAACGGGATTTATTTAGAACAGTGAGAGTAACACTGACCATCACAGTGTAGAATACAGAATCCCTTTCAAAATCTATTTCTTATCATAAATGGCTAATGTTTTATTGAAATAAGCCAGATTGTTCATCACCTGCTACAGTCAAATGAAAATGTAGTTAATGTTTTTATTTTTCTCTCTGCAAATGTAATTTGGTCTCGTCAGACATCTATTTCACATCCACACGCTCAGCTGTCCTGGAAGAAGCTTGTGATGACAATTTTTTTCTCCATCAGCTGATTGAACAGATTTCCAACCACACAGCATACTATGCTCCTTCTCCTCTTTCCTCCCACCATGCATCCACCGATACACTCTGCCTACTGAGCTCTGAAGAAGTTGTTTCACGCTATGCTTTGTTTTTGAATCGTATGACTCACACGTACTCAAAATATCACTGCCACTATTTATGTCACCCTGAGCCTGAACGCGCATGTGTTCCTACTGTCATTCCTCATTTTATAAAATTACAGGCGTTTTTGTTGCCTTATAATTGTAAATGTTCCAATCCCCTTCTACTAAAACTGTTTGAATGCAGAAGATGACACGGAACAATACCTCGAGTTGACAAAATATCTTTCTTACTTTGTGTGCAGCTAGTAATGAATCTCTCATGTCTTACTTAATAGAACATACTGTAGTACATCATAATTTTAAAATATGAACTTTGACCTACTGAACCTGTTGTACTGACTACTATGGATCACTGAGTGAATACACACAGTTTAAACATGACACTGCCAGGACAGCAAGGGTCCATCGATCTGCTTTTCCACACGCAGATCCAGGTTGAAAGCTTACGCAAACAAGACGATATTTCTGCACTGGCATGTTTTTTGGGAAACCCACGCAGAGTATTGCAGTCTTAGTAGTAGTGCACGGTACTGCATGTCAGAAATTTTACCTCCTTCTTATAATAAAAGTAAACATTTCGTAACTGCACCAAATTTGTGCTTGTTGCTATCTGCTGTACAACAAAAAACATAAGGCCCTGATCAACTAATTTCCATTACTTAATTTGTGCCCCGTAACTGTTCCTTACAGAAATCAAACTATTTTGGTTTACTTTCCTAAAGGAATATGTTTAATTACTTTCGTTCCACATTCTTTTCATATCATAGGTCCTACATACAAATATACTCATCACAGACAGTATTTAGTTATTAAATTCAAAATATCGCCAATATAACAAGCTCAGGCCTCCTCCTTCCTGAGGTTTGGCCTCCTTGCTGTTGCTTTTGCCTCTTGTCTCCGACTCCTCTGAGTGAACGTGAATCAGCTGTCAGGTAACCGAAGGCATCCCTCTGCCTTTTTTTCTGACCAGAAAAAAACTGCTGCAAGCTAAACAGAGAACTGACCTTATAAAAAAAACACCCAACTTTGTACAAAGCAGATCTTTTTGCATCTCTTAGCAGAATAACAAAAATATACAAATGGTGTTTGATTAAAAAAAAAACCCAACATAACCGTTTTTGAAAAAAAAGTTTTCATCATAGGGTTTTAGACCCTATGATGAAGCCCCTGCTCCCAGAAATCTGCAGATCAGATATGATGCGAAAGGGTTAAAAGCACCCTCAAATCTAAACAATAAAATTAAATGAAGCAAAACAGATTTGTTTTTAATTATTCTGGTTTGGAACAGATGTCATGTTCACTTCAGGCATTGACAGCTCGCAACAAAAACTTACAATAGCTCCTTTTCAAAAGACTTTTGTATGGTAAGTTTTATAAATGGGTGTTAACGAAAAGTGCAGATAATTCTGAGAAATTGTCAACAAATTGTGTTCAACCATTGATCAGAATCAAAGCATAAATCAGAGCAATGACTCATTTTGGGTTGCTTGGAATGAACAGGTTCAGTGAATAATTGAATTAAATTGAATAAGTGAATAATGAATAAGTTTTTCTTGTGTTGCTGTGAATGTTTTGTGCTTAATGCTTCATAATCTCTCCTTAAATACAGCTTTAGTTCTGAGCACTATTTAAAACGTATTGATATATATTTTATCTCTTTTCTAAAAACATGAATTGTTCTATATAACATTTTTGTTACAAATAATAAAGGTGGTATTGAGGGGTTACAATTAATTTATTTAGAAGAATATTTAGGCACAATTGATGCAGGACATGAATGGAAACAAATTAGTGGGCACAAATACAATGAACACCAGTGACTTTGCAACTGATTTGTATATATCTCTGGGGATGCTGCAGCTCACCCTAACACTTTTCTGCTTCTTTACACCGAAAACGTCATTTCTGACCTACTCTCTCTGTCTGACAAACCTGATAATTTGTTGTTTAATATCACCAAACTCAAACACAAGCTAAATATGTTCATGATCACTTCAGGCATTGACAGCTCGCAACAAAAACTTACAATAGCTCCTTTTCAGACTTCTGGATGGCAACTTTTCTCGTATTATCCTTGTGGTCTCTCTGTGATGAATCTTCAGATTTATGTTTTATAAATGGGTGTTAAAGAAAAGTGCAAATAATTCTGAGAAATTGTCAGGAACTTGTGTTCAAACATTGATCAGAATCAAAGCATAAATCAGAGCAATGACTTAGTTTGGGTTGTTTGGAATGAACAGGTTCAATAAATAAAGTTTCAAGCTTTTTTCTTGTGTTTCTGTAAATGTTTTGTGCCTAATGCTTGACACAAACTCTCCGCTTTAATACAGCTTTAGTTCAGAGCCCCATTTAAAAAGATTATGGTTTCATTTTTAGGCTTCCGAAGATATTGCCTAAAAATGAATTTAACCTTATAATGACCAATCAAAGAAATGATCAAAAGAAAATAATTATTTTTAGTCAAAATAATATAATCATTGTAATTGTCATATATAAAACACAAAACTTTGAACAGTATTGATAAGAATTTCCTTTATTTTCTAAAAACATAGATTGCTCTACATAACATGTTTGTTGCAAATAATAAAGGTGGCATTGAGGGGATACAACTAATCTATTTATTTAAAGGACAATATGAAACCTGATGCAGGAACTGAATGGAAACAGTTCAGTGGCCAGAAATATAATGAACTACCAGTGACTTTGTGACTGATTTGGATATATCTCTGGTGATGATTCTGTTTATTCTCATCCCCCTTTTCTGCTTCTTTACACTGAAAACGTCCTTTCCAACCTTCTCCCTCTGTCTGAAGAAACCAGAAAATTTGTGGTTAATTAGCTTAAAAGAGAAAATCA